GAGGTCTTTTGAGACACATACTTGATTCTTGGCATATGTATATGATTCTTAAGGAATTTCTATGTGGTCCTTAGAGACAATCTTATATGGCACTTCGGTGCAATTCTACGTGGCACTTTGGTACATTTATACGAGCTGTGGTGACAGCATTAGTGCACAACCTCTATAGACTCACATATATATAGTTCTCACATGTGTACATGGGCCATTAAAGACATAATATTCAAAAATTCTATGTGATGTTATATGTTTGTTTGGTTGATATATATGATATGATGATGTGTATATAGCTTGGTTAAGAAGAATATATATAAGAACATATGTCTAAAAGATAAAGAACGCAAATAAGACTATTAAAGAGATAATGATAAATTTATTACATACGATTTATATGCTTCGTGTTACGAAACATGTTACCAGAATTATATGATGATATGTGTGTTTATTTGTGAAACAATATGTATATGTATGATATACAAAATGAAATAAGTATAATATATATATATTAAACAGGAGTAATAATAATCGCTAAAATGAAATGGTATATATACATATATATGTGTGTGTGTGTGTTTACGTTTGGATGCATTATATAGTTTATCATGATTACATGAAATTTGCATAATAGGAATTAGTTAAGATATGCTATAGTCAGATTATCTATGCCTCACTAAGTCATCGACTTAGCGTGTGAGTGTTTCACATGTAGGTTCCGGAAAAGCGAGAAGATACGCTAAGAGGAGCAAAACAGGTCAACATCTCCTTTATGATGTACATATTAGAAAAATAATTGTAAATTTTATGTATATTGTTATATCAATTGTAGTTGGCATGTACTAAGTGGATGATATTGAATATGCTCTCATAGGTTTTGTAAGACTAAATGTTTTAGTTAATGAAAAGCATTCACTTTCTCGAATTTTGAATTTGAATTTTAACCAATTTGTAATCAAAATGTTTTGAAAAGTCAATGTGACACCTCAGACTCGGATCCGGGTCGGGGTGTTACACATGTAGATCATTTCCATCTAATTCACATGTCATATGTACATTTTCTCATATATCTCATATAATCATATATATCTTATTTCATACATATATCAAATATGCATACCTTCACTTATCTCATATCATGTAATTTATGTTCTGTCCTCTTATGTTCACATGGCATATAATGCATACAAATCATATTCATACATGCTTATATTTATGACTTCATGTACTATAATTATAGGAAATAGACCTATAGCAAGTCCAATTTCTACATAATTCTATATCAAAATAAAATGCACTCACCTATATTTCATTGTCTTTCCCTCGATCAATCTTACTTGTCACTTGTTCCTGAACTCGTTTAGGCTCAATATCTATATAAACATAATTTTCGAGACTATTATCATAAGCCTAAACCTTATAACTTGGTATTAATAACTTAGGCTAATTTAATAAACCAAACTTCAACTTTTCCTTTAGGAGTGTACCGATGCACTATGGGTGCATCAGTACCCAAAATAGCTTCGAAATTTTCATGCATCGATGTATGTCAATGTGTATCGATGCACCTTCAAAATTGGTCTTAGTGCATCGGTACCCATTCATAGTGTACCGATGCACCTGTCAATAATAAACTGATTTCACCCGAAAATTCCACAACTTTTCATTAAATTTCCTCATATAAAACTTCTTTCATACCACTAAACTCAACTATAACCATTTTGACTAACTTTTATCATTCCAACACCTTATTATCTCCCATATCCCATACAAATTCTTAAAGTTAAGATTCATACCCAATTTTCCATGTTATCCAAACTTTGATTTAACGCTTATAACTTCTTATTCACACCTATGAGAAGTCCAATTCAACTTCTAAATTCATTTATACATCCTTATTTAAAATTTCACTTATCCACTTCTTATCTTTAATCTTTCATAACTTACAAATCTTTGAGTTTCTATGACCTTTTTCATCTCCATCATGTTTCCTAAGTCTTCCTTAACCAAAACCATACTTAAATTTTAAGGATTAACCAAAAGAAATCCAACTTACCTTGGCTATGAGGCTTCACGGTTGGGAGAATAAGAAGATGAAGAAAGATAAGTCTGGAAACATTTGTTTCCCACAAGTGTGTTCCACATAGGTTATAAGATAAACCCAAATATTATTTTATTCATTCATTTGTTCAATGACCCTTTTACCCTTTCTTCTCCCTTCAATTGTTAATTCATCCTACACCAAATATTTCAATTGATTCCTTCACTCTTCAATTTATCTAATATGGTTATTGAATTTTAAAAGCTTACACTTTAATCACTAACCCAGTATTGAGGATGTTACACTAGCTCATTAAGATCACACAAGGATTATGCAAGGAAAAAGTTAAAAAAAACTAGTCAAATAAACTCAAACAAAAGGTAGATTCGAACAAATATGATTGCATCGGTAAACAAACCACAAAAGATTATAAAATTATTGAAAGACCACCAACAAAATGCAAATCATAATCGAGCGACGCGAAAATATTATTAACGAGCACAAATCGCGTATCCAAATTCAATCTGATGGTCCAAAGCAGAAAAGATCAGCATGATAACAAATAAGCATCATATTGATCAGTCGTGGCGATGTAAAATCCAACATTGAAAAAAGAAAACAACTGACAAACAACTGAAAACGTATAATAAAGACAGAAAAATGTGTCATAAAAATATAATTATTAAAAATAAAAAATAAGAAAAATCAAAGATTGTTATAATAGAGTAAAAGGAAAAACAATGAATACCAACAATCGACCGATCAATACTAAAACTAGCGCCGTTGTTGATTATAAAGATGAAGAAAAAAATTAACCACGTCTAAGTAAAAAAAATTGATTGATTCAACTTTGAGATTACTTGATACATTTCAATATATATATATATATATATATATATATATATATATATTTGTTTAACGTATATTTGATTAGAAATATAAATTTTATTTTAAATTTTCCATATAATTGATCATAACGATTTATTGATCCCTTTATATATTTTTTATTTTAAAAACATATTATTTTTTCTTGTCCTTCCGATTTTAAGGCTTAATTTTGATTAATCCGGATCAATTCGGGTCGCACACCTAACTTTAGTTGGTGAGTATTACAGTAGAGATTTTTACACTCTCAAGAACAATGATATCAAACTACTTACCACTTTAATCTACATTTGTTGGTTAAAAACATGTTATTTCATAATTGAATATTATATATTTATTTTTACATGACATTTTTTTAATAATTTTCTTTAGAATAAAAAGTAATTATCTTTTTATAATGTACTTGTGGTAAAAAAATCAAAGTAAAAAATAGACAAATAAAGAAAAGAAAAGATAAAAATATTACTATAATCAACGAGTTTATTAAAAAATATTAAATTGATCAAATTAATATTTTTTAAAATATATTTTTTTATTTTTCAAGTTTCCATATTTTTTGTTTAGAAATTTTGCATATATTAACATAAAATATGATATATTTAACATATATTTATCTTAGAAATAACTAAATAAATTTAAACCTATTTATCTAAGAAATAAACAAACTCAATCATACACGGCCCACATGCATCAGCTTGAACGGTCACACGTATCATTCAAAGATCAGAATCTATCACGAAACGATAAAAAATGAAAGTGAAAAAAAAGAGATAAATAAACATTAATTAATTAAAATTTAAACACGAGGTGGCACATACGAGACAAGCAATGGGATTCGGGAGATAAACCCTTCCCGGAAGTAGTAAAAATCTGTTTTCACCTACCCCAATGCTGTCCGCTTTTTTACCAACACGGTTAAAATGAAAAAAAACAGATGAAAAATAAGTTAGGGTAAACCATCTAAATTGTCACTTACGTTTCTTAAGTATTCACTTTTAGTCATCAATTTTTTTAAAAAATAATAATTTGTCTCTTACTTTATCTATCTACAATATTTTAGTCACTAAGATATTAAATGTTATTGGTTTGTTAACTAGACATGTTAAAAGACACGAATCAAGTGGCATTCGTGGTAAAAAATTGTTGTTATTCTTTGAGGAATCGGGTTTAAACACCATATATGTCAGGGGTGTGAGCGTTCAATGTCGAGAGGTTAAGAGTTATATTTGAACAGATAATGTCTTGTACTTGCCACATATTAATAAAAAAATGTTAATAAAAGAGTTAATTTTTAAATTAATACTTAAATTTTAATTCATATTTTATTTAAAATTTAAGAGTCAAATCTATAATTTATCTAAAATTAAAGAATCAAAATAATAGTTTTTAAACTTTTGGTATTAATTTTAGAACTAACATTTTTATTAATGTGCATCATCAGATTAAAAGTATTTAACACTTCACTAACCAAAATTTATAAATCAATAACATAAATAATTAAAATATGACATTTTTTTTTATTTGATGACTAAAAGTGAACATTTATGAAACAAAAACGATCATTTTAGTAGGTTATCAGAAAGTTATTTATTTAATCGATTTTCACTAGGAGACTAAACACAATTTTTCATTGATTTTCTATAAAGATAGAATTAAGATCAAATATTAAAAGAAATAAATTATATAAATTCAGAATAATAAAAAATTGTAAATATTTAATATTAAAAAATTAAATTTAAATTAATAAGGACTTAGAATAAGATTAGACGAAGCAATTTTAAAACTGTATCCCTCACATTCTTTACCTAACGCCGTCCCTGTCTCCGATTAAATTCCATATGCCGACCATTACCACGTATCCCGAGAGATTTGACTAATATCTCTTTTCCAACGAGAACGTGATCGAATCCCATCGATGAAAAGCCTTTTGTATTTAAAAAAGTAGATTGCGGGGATTTGTTAGAGAAATAAAGATTTGATTTTGAGAGAGAGAAAAAAAAACAAAAAAAACAAATAGTAAGTAATAAAATAAAGAAAAGCCGAAGAGACAGATAGGCATTGTATTTTATGTTGCAGCGTATAAATAAAAGCAAGGCCACAAATCCTAGGGAAAAGACTCTGTGTTTTTCTTCTTCTTCTTTATTTTTGTGTATTTTCTCCTTTTCCTTTGATCCAAGCTGTAAAGAAAAATCCGGGTCCTCTTTTGGTTCTGAGTTCTTGGGTTTACCTTGAGAGATGGCGATAAACGGCGGTGTTACGTGGCGGACGACGGAGAAGATCGACGGCGAAGTTCATGTTCTGGCCGTTGATGATAGTCTCGTTGATCGGAAAGTCATTGAAAGGTTGCTCAGAATATCCTCTTGCAAAGGTGGGTCATCGCGGTTTCGTAATTTCTTTGAGTTTTCATCCAAAATTCATTGCATTTTTTATGAATTTGCTCATTCGATTTTGTTTGGTCGATGCAGTGACTGCAGTGGATAGTGGAATCAGAGCTTTGCAGTTCTTGGGATTAGATGAAGAGAAAAACAGTAATGGCTTTAACGTGAGTCTAATTCGAACTTCTCCCCAAAAAATCCCAGTTTCCTAGAAAGTTTCAGCTGACTCGCACCTTCTTTTTCTTTCATGATTTCAGGATTTGAAAGTCGATCTGATTATCACCGATTATTGTATGCCCGGAATGACGGGCTATGAACTGCTCAAGAAAGTGAAGGAATCCTCTGCTTTTAGAGAAACCCCTGTCGTAATCATGTCATCGGAGAACGTTCTAGCTCGAGTCGACAGGTATTTTTCTTGTTTTTAATCTGTTAAACGAATGCAATTCGCCTAATTCTCTTAAAATTTTGATGAACAGATGTTTAGAAGAAGGAGCGAAGGATTTCATAGTGAAGCCGGTGAAATTATCAGATGTTAAACGCATAAAAGATTACATGAACAGAGACTTCCGAATCGGAGACGGAGAAGAAAAAGAAAAATCAAGAAAAGGAATCAACAAGAGAAAGCTAAGAGACAGCTTTGATGATCTCTCTTCATCTCCACCGTCCATTTTATCATCATCTACGATTTTATCATCATCATCATCATCTCCATCTCCATCTCCACAATCACACTCACCATCGCCGTCGCCATCACCGCCGTCAATCCTATCAGCATCAGCACCGAGTTCTCCATCACCACTAGATTCTCCCACCAGACGTCTCAAAGCGACAAGCTCCGAATAGAACAGAAGCAAAAAAAAAAAGTTAATTCATTCACAGAGTTTTTAGAATTCCTCTTGCAATTCTCCGTTAATTTTAACGGTTTTTGGTTGCTGGTTTCACTTTTTTTCCCATTATTTGGTCCACTTGTTTTTTTTTTCTTGTACTTTTTTTGTTAATTTTATAATATATTACTAATGTAACAAAGTCACTTGCAAAATCTCTCCTAATTCAGATTCTGATTAAATTAATTAATTTTGGTGATTGTGATGTATGAAGGGGTCGGTCCAGATGATATTAACATGGGAATAATAATGTAAGAAGGGGATACGATATGATATTGGTGTCGAGAAGGGAATATTTGGAAGAAGATTGGGCAGTGGGGACGTGGGTGTGTGTTCCCTGTGTGCTACTAAGGCTAGCCTGGCGTGACACAACTGCCACTTCATCTTATTTTCAATCCAGTTATATAAAAAATTATGTTATTTTATTATATTTTATGTACACCAATTTTAAAATTTATATCATTACAAGGATGTGGGCATATTTATTATATCGTTATTTTTCAAAATGATATTCGAATACTATTATTATTAAAATGGTATGCGTTTATGTACAAGTGTTTTTTTAAAGGTATATTTTAAGGTGTACTGTCATCTATCTAGTAGATCATCCAAGAGAATTTCCTATTATCCAAAAAGAGTAACATGTATAATTACACGAACACAAGCATATATAAGTCGGATAACTATAAATCTAATCTTCATCCGGTCAATGAATGTATGTCTAAAATATTATATTTAATCACTTTAAAAAGATTAATATATAAATAATATGATATTTGAAGAAATTATATTAAAATTTTGTTGTTTTTCACTTGTCAAAGACAATTATTAAACTCAATCAAACTCATATAAGTAAGATAATTAAAAAAAATCTATATATAATTTTCTTCGATTTGTTACTTATTTTACTAATGGTGTTCAGCCTGAAATTTTATATGTGTCCAGCTATTAAATTTTGTTGTGTTATTAACATATGCGTGTCCACTTTCAAAAATATTTCTCGATCAATCACTGTTTGAACACTATGATCATAAATATTTAATAAGAAACTAATTGTCTTTAAATGACATATTGATATGAATCTCAAGTTTAAGAACTGTTTATAGTAGTTCAATAGCAACAAAATTTTAACTTAAATTTACTAAATCTCACATTTTATATATTTTTTAAAAGTGTTTAAATATACATATATATTTTTAGTGATAGAAAATAAAGTCTATATATATTTGTCGTCGTTGCTATTTAATCATCTCGTGCTTGTGTAATTATATGTTGAAGACACATACTACGCGTGTTATTTTTTAAAATAAATTTTGTATGATTTTTATTTATATTTTTTATTTCTTTTATTTTATTGGTGAGTGACATTATCATAGGAAAAAACTATTCGGATGACTTACCACTTAAATAAATATATCATATCACATATAAAAGATACAACTTTCAAAACGTATCTTTTGAACACCAAATTTTAAATATTATTTAAATAATTTATATTAAAATAATTTGTATTCACATAAAATTACCATGTGAGATTTTATTTAAGAAACGGTCCAATTTAGGGAATAAGGAGAATGGTATATGTGAAAGGGTACACATCGGATTGGCGTGAAAGGTAGTGCTCTGCAACCATTGGGCAAAACTGATACTGGAAAGATCTTTGGACCCTACATTTTACTCAGACTTTGATTGTTCATACAACCACTTTGCTTCGGCGTGAAAATGAGGGCCTCACCTTTTGCTAGCTACTCTTCATCCCCATAAATTTCAAAAAAAATACAAATAATATCTTCTATTTAATTATATAAACACTTATTTTAATTTAATCATATTTTAATATCAATCAGGTCAATGGTAAAGCGATAAAAGTTCTGTCTTGTTATAAGTACACAGATTTTAAATTCAAACCAGACAAATTTTATTTGTATAAAAATATTAAATATTATAGCCCAACGTGGATGAGTGTCAGATGACATCCTAAAATTTGTTTAAATATATATATTTTTATAATTTTATCAAAAAATTAAAAATTAAATTGAAATTATTTTTAAAAATAAATTATATGACTCTAATTATATATTACATTCCCTTTAAATTTGACACCGTAATTAATTTTTCTAACTTCATCATATGCTATAATGATTTTTTATTTCATATATATTGAAGAGATATTATAGCATCTTTGGCAATACTACTTAATGGACCTTGAAGAAGATGAAAGGGAGTCTACCACACCAAAGAGGATATAAGGGGGGGGGGGATTCTCTTGAAAAGATTTGAGATCATGTTCAACAACAAATAGAATTACTACTATCTTAAAATTCAGGATAAATTGTTTTAGTAGTTATTTTTATTTTTTGATTTTGACTATTTAATTTTAAGAAATTATATTTTAATCACTTTCAAAATCGGATCTCTTCAAACAGTCATCAACTTCTCATACGATATCAGACTTGACTGCTCTTTCTTCATTTTGATCACTTTTTATATTTGAACCTCCTCAAGCTACTTAACCATAAAACTAAGCATAAAACGCTCATCCGCAGTTCAAGAAAAGAATATTATTCATACGTTGCTGCTGGGCCAACAGCGACCTAATCGATCACAGGCAAGAAATGCAAATTCGAATCCGTGGCACACAAATCACCCTTGTCTGCTTTATTGTTCTTCTTCTTTGTGTAGTAAAAGTCAAAAACAAATGAAGAGCTCAAAATCTTATGCTCGAAACTCGATTTACGGAAGTGTAGCTCTTACTTCTTTCCTATCTGCCCCAAATGACTGCAGTTTAAAACCAAAATAGAAATCATGAATTCCAATGAGGATTATTAGCGGAGAAAATTGAGCAGAGATAGTGTCGGGCAAATAAAAATTCGTACCTCGACACCCAAACCTTTGGCATACACATTTGTGAAGAGTTCAGAAGGTTCAGGCATTGGACTTTCCTGGGAAAAGAAGGGCAAAAGAATCGATGCTGTGTAAGTGTGGACAACCATTTGGTACCAGAAAAAACAACTAAATAAAAATTTTAAAATAAAATTAAATAAATAAATCACATGCAAATAACTTCACTAATATATATATATAAATAAATACTTACCTTGGCTTGAGCAATCGCATCGTCTACCTCTTTTCTCACTTCCTTCTCAATGTCCTGAATTTTTTCCAATAATTTGATAATTGTGTTAACCGCAAAGAAGCCACTAACAACATTTCAATGCTGATAGTTTCATAAATGAACATAAGTAAAATACCTTCAACTCTTTCTCAGTAGCTAGGTCATGGGATAATATCAGCTTCCTTACTCTTTCGATTGGATCACGCTCCTACAAACATAACATAAAGAATCTCAGTTTTCCAGTAACTTGATTACAACACAACATGAAATATCTAACATTTGAAAAATGAGTCCTTGTAAAAGTAGTGTGAATTGAGTATCAACCTGTCTAACACCACTAATTTCATCACGTGTTCTATAGGTGCTTCCAGGGTCAGACATAGAGTGTCCATGATACCGATAAGTATCCATTTCAAGAATCTGCATAGTTGCACAAGAATCAGAAGCAATAATGCAAGAAAATATAGAAAATATAGAAAATAGTAAGAGATTTTAAAAAGGAATTAGCAGCAAATAAACAGGTCTCCACATATCAGATAACATGCAAGGATTCAATTAGTCCTTCAATAAAAAATGCAATATCGTTATTGAAAAGCCCACATCAATAGAACACAGTTTTTACGCCTTTAAACTAATGTGAGTTACAAGAGTAAAAACATAAAATCCTTTTAATTTAGTTGATAGCGTCTTCTTGCTAAGAAGTTACATCATACAAGTATCTATTAGTTATTTTTTTAAAATAAATACAAGGGCAAAAATATCTGGAAAAAAAACTCAGTCCCAAACCCAAAACCAGGTATTCATACCACTTAATTATGCATTAGGGAGTCATATTCTTAATTTTCCATGGGAAGCACCTAAATATGTTTTCCCATATCAAACATCTTGGGAGTTACAGGGATCATCCTATAAGCCCCAAATGATTTTAGGATAATGCTAGTTTTGCTTCATAAATGGCAATGGAAACCCAAAAGGAATGCTTAAAACTTGTTCCTTATATGACTCCTTTTATCAGACCAATAGAGTGTCCATGCAAAAATCTTTGCATCTGATATCATATCAGGGGAAAAAAAACAAAACTTATCAGCTGCTACATGACTGCCATACTAGAACATCCTCATTCCCTAATTGAAGAAGCTGTCGATCACAAGCATCTAACATTGAAGTATCATAAATTCCATAAAACACGAGTGAAGTAGCATAGATGCTCGTCCTTTCTATAAAAAAATTGGAAGTTATGTTTCCCTTGATGTAAATTTACACCTAGCTTTTCACATGTAATGAATACTTCTGGAGCATCATTACAAGATATCTCCAATGTTTGTTCTGGTTATGCTCTACCATGTTTCAGCTTGCCTGTAGTGCTATTAATCTTGACACAGATATCATAACTAGACACTCAGGTATGAAGCATATGACTAGGAATTTCAGGGCCAGAATTGATAATTTGATATCCATAAGTTAAAGGTGCATCAGAAAATTGCTCTAAGCCTAAAAATGGGCGTGACTTATAAAAAACTAGCTAAATTTGAAAGCTTACTCTGCTGAAAGGTTAAATGATTTAAGTAGATAAGGTTAAGCTTCCAGGTTGCAACTCTGATAGCATGTAGAGCTACAATGTTTTAATAGCTACAAAACAAAAAATATTACAGCTTCCAAATACTGCTTATTGGCTTCACACGGAGACTTTAGACAAAATATCAGTAATATGATCATTCAGAGAAATAGAAAGAAGAAAATGAAATTGAGAAAACCATAAATTTCTCCAGTTTTGATAATTCAAAATGGACAAGAAAAGCTATTAGTGCCAACTTATCATCTATCCACTTTTAAAATCACTCCAGGTATACC